AAGGGACATGTTACCAGCGTGGGGCTCCCAAGACAAAGGCAGCAGGGCAGAGAGCCCCAAGCCTACAGCAGGTAGCCCGCATCTGCCCCTCATACAAATCTGGGGGGCACATACCCTCCCCATGCCTCCCCTGCAGGGGGGTGCACAGTGGTGGAGAGCTGCCCCCTTACCCCAAGCTCCCTGGACGAGCTGTCTATGGCTCCATCCTGCTCTGAGTCCTGTTCACCACCCTGGCTGGGCCCATTCACCACCAAGCCCCTGCACCATTCTCTCCCTAACCCTGGAGGCCTCTATCTGCCCCCTGCTCCCCATGCCCCTTCCTTTCCACAGACCTACCTTCAGGGAATTGCTCTCCAAGCTGCCTGGCTGCATTCCTGGCCACATGCATAAATGCAGCTGTGCACATGCACGCAGTGTCTGGGGGCCTCTGCCAGAAGGCTTAATTAATTCATAGATGTTTGGGTCGGAAGGGACCTCAGTAGATTATCAAGTCCAACCCCCGCCCTGGGCAGGAAAGAGGACTGGGGTTAGAAGTCCCAGCTAGGTGCATGTCTAGCTTCCTCTTAAAGACCCCAAGGTAGGGGAGAGCATCACCTCCCTTGAAAGCCCATTCCAGATTCTGGCAACCCTCACTGTAAAGAAGAGCATCTCATATTCCCCCCGCCGATGAATTTGTAGGTGGCTACAACATCACCTCTCAGCCTTCTCTTGAAGAGGCTAAAGAGATCCAGGTCCCTCAATTATATTTAACAGTGAACATTATCAGCTACACTGGCCAAGAAAAGCCAATAGATGATAACGTAAATTTCCCTTTTATCTGTGCCAATCTTATTCTTACTGATAGTCTCAAGCTTACATACATGTATAAATGTATCTGGGAATTTCCCTAAAAGATGGGAAGAGAAAAGAGCCTTGCTTTTTCACATCTTACAGTGTCCTCTAAGAGGTTCATAAGGATGCTAATATATCTTTGATGCGACTGCTAGCAAATGTTTATTCTCTGCCCTATAGTGAAAGGAACTGTAATTCTTACAGCTCTGAGGGTTTGCTATAGATGAGATCTTTTCTTTTGACTTTCTAGAAGGTAGTCAGGACTGATGGCCCCTTACTATACAGTTTAGGAAGTTCACACCAGAAGGGCACGGGGTCTCTTCTGCTCATTCAGTGCACAGGAGCTGAAGTGGGACAACTGAGGGCAGAAAAATGTAAGGAAGAAAATATATGAGGCATGTTTCTTCATCTACCAGAAAACTCCACAAGTTCTGCAGAAAGGGAGACAGGCTATGGATGATCAGTAGCTTTGCATTAATACACAGTACCTACCATTTTGGAAGCTGTATGCTAAAAGTAGAAGTAGACTGGGGTGGAGAAAAAGGAAGGGAAACAACCTGTATGGGATATTTCAGAGCTCCCAAGTGCAGATATGTACTACTTTCAAAAAGGGCAAACCATAATCCACAGAGATTTAGGAGGATATGCACTCTCCTGGGATTATGCAATTAGGGTAGTGAGAAGAGCCTGTTAAGGTTGTAAAAGAAGCCAGAAAAGTTTGTATGCAATCTCTCACCCTATGCAGTACTGGGGGAAGAGGGAAGGTGGTGGCATGGTTCCAGTCCATACTTCTCTGGTCTAGTACACGTGAAGACAGACAGCTTAGTTTTGTACCCTTTAAGAAGTTCATGAGAAGAAAACTATACAGATTGTCACCTTCTCCCAAAATCCCTGTTTTCTTACTCGTTGTCATCTTCAATTTTTATTAAGAATCCAGAATCATCAGGAATTTATCCCTGACTCCATCCCTGCGAGTTTAAGAAAGTTTTAAGACAGCTGTTGACTCTTCTCATTTGTGCCATGACCTCTACCAACTCTATAGAGCTTTAGGACTCAAACTTCTTGCATCAAAAATGGATCATCAGTCTAAAAAACTTAAAATCTTGCTGTTACTTCTCATCAAGGCCTATACAAGATTAAAAGACTAACAAGATGACACTCCAAAGACAGGTAATGAACGGTAAGCTCCAATAAACCTCTCTTCTATAATGGGTTAGCAAAATGGGCTGACGTTTTGACCGCTGTATGGGAAGGGTGACTAGTTTCCCAAACCTGTATACACTACTACACAGGGAAAGGAGGAGTTTTACTTTCCTGATCTTTTTTCCTAAACCCTCCTACAGTACATATATCCTAAAACCAGCAAGAGCAAAATATATTTTCTATGAGCTTCAGAAGAGCAAAGGAAGGTCTCCCCGGTTAGATGAAAAGTTCTTGGGAGGGTATGACAGATGGCAAGGATAATCTCTGAAATGTTCCAAAACTTTTGACAAATGGAATATAACCTGCTACCATTTAATTTACAGAAAGAAATATAAACTGCTTAAGGAGGGCAACTGGCACAGGACTTAAGAGAAACTTGAGACTACAATTTATTTTGTTTCTTGAGGACAGACAAAAGAGGAATGAAAGGGTTTTTTTGGGTGTGGGGAAAGAGTTTTGCTTATATTTTAGATTTGATGATGCTTACTTTCTAGTCTGCTCTTCCTGATCTTGCACAAGGATTTCAAAGCAATTTATGGGAGCTCCTAGTTGAAGGGTGGGGTGCTGAATCTTTTTAAAGTTATCTTTAATGCAAAATGTAAATCATTGAAACTATTTACAAAACCCAAACTATAGGAAGGGACTTTTGTCACTGTTAAGCTATCTCACTGCCTCAGCTTCTCTCTCTCATAATCTTATTGTTTTACAAGTTCTCTGGGCATCAGAATCTTCCAGGGTAAGACATAACCTACGTTCCCAATACAAAAAACAAACAGAAATAAAAAGACAACTTTATGAATTTACATATTAGAGAAACAGCAGAAGGCAGAATTCACCTTGTGTCTGTTGAAAGAGAGGTAATATATGTGATGGCCTATATATCTAAAGTCTCTGTCCCAACAAGATGCCAAAGACGAACTGGACTACGCTGTATCCACAAAAAGGCTAAATGACTTGAAAATTACAACAATCACTGCAAGCAAATAAAGATTTAGTTGCTGAACATAAAAAAAGTTCTTATCAACCTACCTTACTGCTGAGCTGAGTTTTAGCTGATATTGCTGCTTGCGTAGAAGTTTCTTTTTTCTGAGTATCTGTGAAAGATTTTTTTTTTTTTTTTTTTTTACAGAAGATTTTTGAAAAAGCTTTCATTTAATATGCCTAATTGTCACTTGTGCCTTCAAGTCTATTTTGCAGTTGTTGGTATTCTAACATACAGGATAGCAGGGTATTTTTGTAACCTATGTCTACATGCCTTAGGAAGATGACAGACACACTGAAAACACTACCCTCCCTATTTCAAAATAAATCTCTCACAAATCAAGTCAGACTCTAAAAACACCATTAGACCAAGTGAAATGCTAGTATTCTTTAAAAATTCCTTGTGTTCCAATCTCCTCAGCACTTCAAAAATGCCATTGGATGACTATGCAACATCTCAATTAACTCATTTTAAAGTTTAAATCATGAATCAAATGATTCAAAGTGGCTTCACTACAAAAGACATCAACTATCTTTCACAATGGAATACAGGGCTATTGTTAAGGTTGTCAATCAATTAATGAAATAATGGCTACAATGGCTAATGAATTAATGACTACAAGCTCAGCTGGTTCCATCAAAGACAGCCACACTATTAAAAAGTCTGCTTACAGGTGCATACAAATGTTTTGTGGTCCATATGTGGTCCACACCTTGCACTTTGGGAACCCTGCTCTAATATGTAATATGCAACCCTGAATAATTCTTCAGTTATTCTCTTTTAGGCCCCTGCCACACATTACTTATATTATACAATTACATGATTAACTGTACAATAAATTTAGACTGGCCACATGGACATTTTTATTGTGATAATTAATTTGCACATCCAGCTATGAAAATGGCCAATCAGGTACAAAGGCAGTGCTTGAAAATGTGCCACAGTTTCATAAATAGTTTCTATACAGCTTTAAATTTGAATGTGTAGTAGGGACTTTAGTGAGAAAATTTAAATTAACAAGCAAACTTCTATATGTGCGCTTGGGGCATGACCCAGATTACAGGCAATGAGTCAGTTTTGAATTTGGTATTCAAGCAGTTAAAATGCAAATAATGGAATAAAATTAATGTAATCAAGCCAAAACTGATTTAATGATCCACATCTAATGAAATATATTTTTTTTAACAGACAATTTTTGAAAAAGTTAATTGAATACTTCTTTTTTAGTATATATGATTTTAAAAAGTATAGTACTGTGGATGAGTAAGGAATGCAATTCCTACTCTGTTTGCAGATATTTCCTTTTTAAGTTTTTTTAAATTTTTTTTATAGATGTGGATCATTAAATTAATCAGAACATCAATTCTTCTAAAACTTTGTCTTAAGACTTGAAAATAAGAAATTATGGGAAAGGAAAATGATCTATAAAAAAAACTTAAAAATGAAATATCTGCAGAGTAGGAATTACATTCCTTACTCATCCACTGTGCTATACTTTTTAAAATCCTATATACTGAAAAAGCTATTCAGAATTCTTTTTTGTTAGTGCATAATTTATAGGGACACAGTCAGATTGGTAATGCCCAAATTGAACCAATTCAGTTTCTTTTATCACATTGAAATGCCTATGCAATAATCTGCATTTGACACAAATGTTTCAGCACTTCTTCCCCCAGTCCTCCCCTTAGTTTCATGAAATAGCGATCCTGTAACAAACAACTTCAATTGGACAGGGTATAAGAGGGGTTTTTTAAAGTTCTGTGATTATACAGTTATAAAAATGTTTATAATATGCAAAATACATTGACAGTGTCCTTTTAACATCTATGTAAAATGGACACGTCACTGTATTAATTTTTTTGTAAACTGACTCACTCACCCAAAAGCATGTCAGCATCCTTTGGCTATGCTTTTGTTTCATTAAAAAAAAAACAACAACACAAAAACGTTAGTTGCAGGAAAGTATATTACTTTGTTTTAAAGCTTCTCCTCAAATTTGTTAGAACATATGCATGCTGTTAAACTTTAATACCTGAATTGCTTGTAGTTGTTATAGCCGTTGAATTTTTGCTTTCCACAGAAATTAGTATGACTTCATCAGAGCTGATAAACAAAACAAAAGATTAATTCACCGAAATAATATTATAACTGACGATGCATAAAAATGGTTCCCCTCTTCTAACAGAAAACATTGAGAACTAGCTACAAAATACATAAGAGTCACAAAACTCAGATGTTTGACTCAGTAAGAAAATCAACTGCATTTTACTGAACAAAAAAAAAGGTAAAATGCATTTTTGGTAACACTATAAAACTCAAAAATCATAGTCCATCAATCAAATAAAACGCTGTCTAAATACCATTACTCAATATTTGATTTGGAATAGATTTTGTTTTAAATCCCTTCAGTCTTATACTATAATTTACAGATTATGCATTATTATAGCTCTACCATTTAACAGCAGAAAATGACAGAATCATAGAAAATTAGGGCTGGAAGGCACCTCAGGAGGTCATCTAGTCCAACCCCCTACTCAAAGCAGGACCAGTCCCAACTAGATCATCCCAGCCAAGGCCTTGCTTAGCCTGATTTTAAAAAACTCTAAGGATGGAGATGCCACAACCTCTCTGGGAAATCTGTTCCAGTGCTTTAATATTCTTCTAGTGAGAAGGTTTTTCCTAATATCTAACCTAAACTTCCTTTACTGAAACTAGAGACCACTGCTCCTTACTCTGTCATTTGCCACCACTGGGAATAGTCCAGCCCAGTGGCAACGCATATGTGCACCCCCTGACAGCCAGCGTGCCCAGCTTGGGCATCAAGCAGGCGGAAGCACTGGTGCCCCCTCCTGTGAGAGTGCCGGCCAAGGAGTGGGAGCACCAGGAGAAGTGCTGCTGGCACTTCCAGGCGCACCCCTGGCACTTCTGGGTCAGCACAACCAGCTGCGGGGGACCTTTCTCCCGGTCGCTGACTAGCCGCTGGGGTGGAGGGCAAGTGCCCCCCCGCCACCCTGATTCAGGAAGCACCAGTTGCCCATGGTATAGCCCCTTCCTCTTTACAATCACCCTTCAGGTAGTTGAAAGCTTTTAATAAATCTTCCCCAGGCTAAATAAGCCCAGTTTCCTCAGCCTCTCCTTATAAGCCACGTTCCCTAGCCCCCTCACCAGTTTCACTGCCCTCCGCTAGACTCTCTCCACATCCTTTCTGTAGTGAGGGGCCTAAAACTGGAGACAATGCTTAAGATGTGGCCTCACTAGTGCTGAATAGAGGGGAAGAATCAGTCCCCTCAGTCTACTGGCAATGCTCCTACTAAGGCAGCCTAGTATGCTATTAGCCTTCATGGCTACAAGGGCACACTCCTATTCAGTTTATTGTAACCCCAAGGTCCTTTCTGCAGAGCTGCTGCTTAACCAGTTGGTCCCCAGCCTGTACTGACGCATGGGACTGTTCTGTCCTAAGTGCAAAACTTTGCACCTGTCCATGTTGAATCTCATTAGATTACTTTTGGTCCAATCCTCCAATTGGCTGAGATTCCTCTGAATCCTGGCCCTGCCCTCCAGCCTATCTATTACTCTCCCCAACTTTTTATCATCTGCAAACTTGCTGAGGGTGCACTCCAACAGTCAGATCATCGATGGGGATACCAAACAAAATTGGCCCCAGGACTGACCCCTACCACACTCCATTTGATACTGGCTGCCAACTAGACATTGAGCCATTGATTACTACCCTTTGATCCCAACCATCCGGTCAGTTTTCTATCCAACTTATAGACCATTCATCCAACCTGTACTTCCTTAGCTCGCTTGTAAGTATGTTATGGAAGACCGTATC